TTTTTTTTTTTTTTTTTTGAGACCGAGTTTCGCTCATGTTACCCAGGCTGGAGTGCAATGGCGCGATCTCGGCTCACCGCAACCTCCGCCTCCTGGGTTCAGGCAATTCTCCTGCCTCAGCCTCCTGAGTAGCTGGGATTACAGGCACGCGCCACCATGCCCAGCTGATTTTTTGTATTTTTAGTAGAGACGGGGTTTCACCATGTTGACCAGGATGGTCTCAATCTCTTGACCTCGTGATCCACCCGCCTCGGCCTCCCAAAGTGCTGGGATTACAGGCGTGAGCCACCACGCCCAGCCTAGATCAGGTTTTTTTTTTTTTGAGATGGAGTTTCTAGTTGCCCAGGCTGGAGTGCAATGGCATGATCTTGGCTCACTGCAACCTCTGCCACCTGGGTTCAAGTGATTCTCCTGCCTCAGTCTCCTGAGTAGCTGGGATCACAGGCGCCTGCCACCATGCCCGGCTAATTTTTTATATTTTTAGTAGAGATGGGGTTTCACCACATTGGCCAGGCTGGTCGAGAACTCCTGACCTCAAGTGATCCACCTGCCTCGGTCTCCCAAAGTGTTGGGATTACAGGCATGAGCCAGCGCACTTGACCCAGATCAGTGTTTATTTACATTTCGAGACAGGGTCTTGCTCTGTTGCCCAGGCTGGAGTCTCGTGACCAGATCACAGTTTACTGTAGCCTCCACTCCTGGGCTCGAGTGATCCTCCCATCTCAGCCTCCTGAGTAGCTGGGACTACAGGCATGTGCCACCATGCCTGGCTAATTTTTAACTCTTTATAGAGACAGAGTCTCACTATGTTGCTCAGGCTAGTCTCAAATTCCTGGGCTCAATAATCCTTCTGCCTCAGCTTCCCAAAAAGTGTTGGGATTACAGGTGTGAGCCCCTGTGCCTGGACTAGATTATTGCTAAAAAAAACAAAAACAAAAACAAAAACAAAAACAAAAACAAAAACCTTTTGGTACATGTGAGGAGAGCAGGCGGACATGAATAGCTCTCTCTCAGGCAGCCCCAGAACTCTCCAGGCCCTGGAGATTGGGAGGCTGATCTAAGAAGAGTGTGCAGGAGGCCGAGGCAGGCCTGGGGTGGCAGTGAAGAAAAGCAAAGGGGACAGGGTGACTGTGAAGATCAGACAGAGTATAAGCTGGGGGCAGGGTCCAGAAGGGACCTGTATGACCAAGGGAGGGGCACATGAAGAGGACCCATGAGTAGGGTCCTGCAGGCAGTGGAGGGAGAGGCTGCAGCCTGGAATAGAAGGCAGGGCTGGAGACACTCTGGGAGGCACAAAGCTACGGCAGTGACTAAGTTTGCCCAGGAGAGGGCTCCACCTTGGGGAAATGGCTACATCTCAATGACTCAAATGATCTCTGAGGTCCCCTGGAGAAAAGATGTCCAAGGATGGGGCCTTGGGGAACTCCTGGCATGAGTGTAGGAAAAGGAGCCAGGGACAGTGGTTGAGGGCAGGCTGGAAGGGGATGCACAGAGCAAAGGCACCAGGTCAGGAGCAGGAAGGGGGCCAGGAAGAGCACAGAGCTGCAGTGGCAGGGTTTGTGATTGGGACAGAGAAGGGACAGCCCCTAGGAGATTGGCGAGCCTGGAGGCTCTGCAGCTCCCACCCCCCAGTCCACAGGGGCAGACACTGTCATGCTTTGTTTTCACCTTCTCCTGGGTGTGACAGGCAAGGTAGTGGTAGTAGAGGTTGGTGGAGTCCGATGGGAGAACACTGACCAGGACGTAGGAGCGGAGCTGACCTGGAAGTGAGGACGCCTCACTGGGCCCCTGCTACATCATCCCCTTTCCCTCCCTCCCTCCCTCCCTCCCTCCCTTCCTCTCTCTCTCTCTTTCTTTCTTTTGACAGTGTTTCACTCTTGTTGCCCAGGCTGGAGTGCAATGTCATGATCTCGGCTCACTGCATCCTCCGCCTACTGCGTTCAAGTGATTCTCCCGCCACAGCCTCCTGAGTAGCTGGAATTACAGGCATGCGCCACCACACCCAGTTAATTTTTGTATTTTTAGTAGAGCTGGGGTTTCTCCATGTTGGTCAGGCTGGTCTCAAACTCCCGACCGCAGGTGATCTGCCCGCCTTGGCCTCCCAAAGTGCTGGGATTACAGGTGTAAGCCACCGTGCCTAGTCCCAATCCCCCTTTCCTTTCTAAGCATCCCTGGGCTATAGAAAAGAAAACTTCTCTCTAGAAGGAGCCAAACTTTAGGGGAGGGAGGGAGAAGAGGAAACCTGAACAGGAACCCCATTATGCTTTTCAACGTTTGTAGGCGGGCGGGGAATAAGGTAAGCTTGGGGACTTCAAGACTTGTGTGCACAGGCGCGCATGCATGCAGGTACCCACATAGACCTGTGCTGACTTGAACACCCGCACTCACTGACTCACACGTGCATCCTCTTACACACACACACACACATACAGCGCTCATTCACATGCCTTCTTCCTTGCCATGTGTGCACACTCATACTGGCATCCCTCCTAAACATATGTTCCCTCCTACCCCGCCACTCCCCAACCACACACACATCAAGGATAATCCTAGAAAGCTGTTCACAATAGTCCTGGATCTGCAGGAATGTGTGTGAGTACCCACAATGTGTGTGTGTATCCACATAAGATGCAATTTAGAGGGGGGATGTGTGGGTGGGTGGGGACAAGGGATACCCCAAGATGCGATGTGTGTCTGTCAGAGGATGAATGTAGTAAAGCATGCATTCATTCACTCCATCATTCACTCAGTCAGGTTATGGAGGCGCCACCATGACCCAAGCTTTGCACTTGGTTAAACAGTGAACGACACAGACACCATCACTGCTCACAATCTAATGGGCTCCAGAGAAGACAGGCCCTCAGGACATAGATGGGAAATGCCTTGAAGGGGGAGTACCATGTACTATGGGAGCTGAGAACAGGCAAAGTGACCCAGAGAATTTCCCAAGAGCAGGGTGTGTACCTTAGTGCAGTGAGTATAGACCCTGGTCAGGTGGGCGCCTCTGGGATGTGAGCTGCATGTCAGCAGGTTGGAAGGTGTTTTGGTGGACATGAGGCTTGGGAGGTATGGGGTGTGATATGTGCATGTGTGTACAGCCACGTGTGTGCATGGGAAGGAGTGAGGTGTGCATCATTATCAGAATTATCGGAGCAAACCGGCTCTTTATTACGTGTATAATTTCCCTGCATCCCATCGGGTCCCTCCGTGCAGGGGGGAGCTGGAGTGGAACTAAACCAAATAGGGATTTAGCAACTTCCAGGGGCTGTGGCAGAGCTTAAAGTGCTGCTGATTGATGGTGGTGGCAGGCAGGGGAGGGGAGAGGTGTCACCAGCAGTGGAGAGTGAACAGAAGACGGAATGTTCATTGGGCTGGGAGCAAGGACCAGTGCCTGGTACCCACTTTCAGGGAGGAGGTCGGGGACAAGTGCAGGGACTGGCAGTTCTCTGCAATAACCTGAGAGAACTGAGAGAAGAAAAGGGACGTGGAGGGGGAATGCCCAATACAGCTCAGTTCTGGCTGAGGCCAGGGGGTTGGGCCCAAGAGCCTGGCTGCACAGCCTCTCTTCTTTTAGGGGTCTCACATATGGACCCTTATATATGAGGTCCATATATCTCATGCCTCTCCTATGTGGAAAATGGTCCTGAAGTTTAGTGGAAATAAGTCATCTCAATGTTGGGTTCAAATCTCGGCTCTGCAGGAGGACCTTGGCAAGTTACTTCTCTAAGTAGTGCAATAATTGGCGTAATAATGTTTACTTTGCAGGGTTGTGGTGATCAGTAGTAACATATAAAAACTTTGGCACCTTGGAAGCACTCAATGAATGATGGTGTTTTATTAAGGATATTGGATCTACTTTGGGAAGCTGAGACAGGTGGATTGCCAGAGTCCAGGAGTTCAAGATCAGCCTGGGCAACACAGCAAAACCCTGTCGCTATTAAATAATAATAATAATAATAAGGTGGCTCTGTGTCAAAATGGATCGCGCATTGGACTTCTAATGACAATAATAATAACAGGCCGGGTGCGGTGGCTCATGCCTGGTAATCCCAACACTGTGGGAGGCCAGGGCGGATGGATCACTTGCGGTCAGGAGTTCGAAACCAGCCTGACCAACATGGTGAAACCCTGTCTCTAATAAAAATACAAAAAAATTAGCCAGGCATGGTGGTGGGTGCCTATAATCCCAGCAACTTGAGAAGCTGAGGCAGGAGAATCTCTTGAATCCTGGAGGTGGAGGTCACAGTCAGCCTAGATCATGCCACTGCACTCCAGCCTGGGAGACAGAGTGAGACCCTATCTCAAAAGAAGAAAAAAAAAAAAAAAGGCTGGGCATGGTGGCTCAAAGCTGTAATCCCAGCACTTTGGGAGGCCAACATGGGTGGATCATGTGAGTTCAGGAGTGTGAGACCAGCCTGGCCAACATGGTGAAACCCTGTCTCTACTAAAAATACAAAAGTAGCTGTGCGTGGTGGCACATGCCTGTAGTCCCAGCTACTCGAGAGCCTGAGCAGGAGAATCGTTTGAACCCAGGAGGTGGAGGTTGCAGTGAGCCGAGGCCTCGACACTGCACTCCAGCCCAGGTGACAAAAGTGAAAGAAACTGTCTAAAAAAAAAAAAAAAAGATATTGGATCTGTTGGTAGATGTACATCATCTCCCTGCCAATCAATCTACACCTCTCCCACCCTTTAAGGTGAAAACCCAACCTGTTCCTACCCAGGCTTGTGGGGACAGCTTCTCCCTCCTCTCCGGCTGGAGAAACCTTTCTGAATAACAGTGTCTGTTTCTCTGGCTGCCCCTCCAAGCATGTTTCTGTCACCAGCTTCTTTTTTCTTCCCTCTTTTACTTTATTTTTTCCTGCTTATCCAAGTAGAAAATAAGTGTAAAGAGGCAGGAGAAAGAAAACCTTTAATCCCGCCACTCAGAGGCAATTATAAAAATTACTAACATTTCTTTTTTTTTTTTTTTTTGAGACGGAGTTTCGCTCTTGTTACCCAGGCTGGAGTGCAATGGCGTGATCTCGGCTCACCGCAACCTCCGCCTCCCGGGTTCAGGCAATTCTCCTGCCCCAGCCTCCTGAGTCGCTGGGATTACAGGCATGCGCCACCATGCCCAGCTAATTTTTTCTATTTTTAGTAGAGGCGGGGTTTCACCATGTTGACCAGGATGGTCTCGATCTCTTGACCTCGTGATCCATCCGCCTCAGCCTCCCAAAGTGCTGGGATTACAGGCTTGAGCCACCGCGCCCGGCCTAAAAATTACTAACATTTCTTGAGTGCCACTTTGTATCACGCATTATTCCAAACGCTTTGGATGCTTTATTTCATTTCATTCTCACAATAACCCAGGGAAACTGGTGCCATAACTATCCCCACTTAATAGAAGCTGAAGCATGGAAGCTTCAGTACTTCAGTACAGCAATAGAAGCTGAAGTACTTTGTCCAAGATCATATAGCTAGTAAGTGATATAAGAAGGATGCAACTTGGGCAAACTCCACTTTCCTTCCAGTCTTTTTCTTTCCTATTTTTTTTTTCCAGACAGAGTCTCGCTCTGTTACCCAGGCTGGAATGCAGTGGTGTGATCTTGGCTCACTGCAACCTCTGCCTCCCAGGTTCAAGTGACTTTCCTGCCTTAGCCTCCCAAGTAGCTGGGACTATAGGGGCCCACTGCTATACCCAGCTAATTTTTGTATTTTTACTAGAGATGGGGTTTCACTATGTTAGTCAGGCTAGTCTCGAACTCCTGACCTCAGGTGATCCGCCTCC